GTTAAAATGATGCTTGAATAAAAAGGTCTTCACCTGGCGCTGAAAAACAAATAATGACAGCGCCAGGCGGACCTCTCTGGGGAGCGCATTCCATAGATTGGGTGCCACTGCAGAGAAAGCCCTCCTCCGACTACTTACCCTCCTAATTTCCTTCATGGAGGGTTCCCGGAGAAGGGCCTCTCCCACTGATCTCAGAGGGCAGGCGGGCATATATGGACGTAAGCGCTCCTTCAGGTAGCCAGGACCCAAGCCGTTTAGGGCTTTATAGGTCATCACCAACACCTTAAATTGGGCCCGGACTTCAATGGGAAGCCAGTGAAGCTGACGGAGGACTGGAGTCATGTGAACATACCGCCCAGTCCTCGTCACAGTAATACTTACTAAGAGAGTGTAACATAGAAACAGAGCGAGTCAGAAGGGGCATCCCAGGCCATCTAGTCTGACTCCTGGCTCCAGCCGGCTCCGCTCATGACATGCCCATTTGCTTGTCTAGCCTATCTTTGAAACACCCTCACCAATGGAGCCTCAACCACCTCCTGTGGAAGCCCATTCCATACCCCCAGGGTCCTAACTGTCAGGAAGTGCTTCCGGGCATCTAAATTGAACCTTAGTTCCCTGAGCTTTGTTCCATTGGAGTGTGTCCTGCCCTCCTCTGCAGGGGAGAACAGGTTTCTACCCACCTCCATGTGACACCCCCTCACATACCTGTATGTCGCCAACAGATCTCCTCTGAGTCTCCTCTTCTCCAGGCTGAAGAGACCCAGTTCCCTCAGTCTCGCCTCATATGGCATCCCCTGTAAAGTGTAAAGATGTCATTGTTAGTTACAAGAATAAATCATATCCATACCTACCACCACACACACAGGTCCAATCCAGGAAGTGGGATCCAGTAGAAGATAAGAAGAGACATGCTAGCTATGTCTTCTAAGTATAAATCCAGCCTTATACACAGAACTATAGCTTCCCTCACCACTAAACCCAAGCACATGAAAATACATTTTACTGGAATACATAGGTGGGAGTTGCAAGGAATCATGTGTACGTGAAAAGTTAGCCCTTCACTGTCAATTAAATGGGACTTCCAAGTAAATTTGCATACAGTAGGGTAAATTTGCATACAATGTTCTACTGACATATGTGGAGCTAGACCCAAAGGACTGAACTGTGAAGAAGTTTAGGATTCAAGCTAATAATGTGTTAGCAATGAGTTTACTGCCCTCTGGTGGAGAACATAGAAGCAAATCATTTCCACTAAAGTAAAAGTTACTCATCCATAAATGCAGGTATGGTGGTTTTCAGCTCACTCTCCTAGAAAAACTGTTCCATGAGGATCCAGGAGAAAACACACAGCCACACTGGATGGCAGCAAAAGGTTCAAGACAATTTATTCGTATATCAGAGTATAAACATGCAGGTAGGCTGCAAGAGCTAAAATAGCACTTGGTCATAAGGTCTAATTCTAGAGTCCTAATGGTACATGTGGGAACATCTGCTTCTCCCTGGCTAGAGAGTCATTACCAAAGCAAAGTACAGTTTAAGGGTAAACTGGTTAAAACTAGTACTGCTGTGAATGTTAGCTAAAAAATTAGCACATGCTTTCCTAGCTACCCTCTTCTGATTGTCACAGCATAGTTAACACATGGTGGCAGAAAAGCTACTAGGGAGAAGAAAGCTTCCTTTGAAAATGGAACTCTTGCCCAAATGAAAAGAACAGAAAGGACCATGAGCTTGCACAAGGGATATGCAAGCAGACACTCAGAGAAGCAAGGAAATAGCTTGAGGCACACATTACTCACAACATCAAGGCCAACAGGAAAGGGTAGGTAAGGAAGTAGTTGGGTCATTGGATAATAAGCAAATTAAAGGAGTGTTAAGAATGGATGAGGATATTGCAGAGAAGCTGAATTAATATTTTTTTTATCAGTCTTCACAGCAGAGCACGAAGAGCCAGTACCCTTCCTTGAGCTTATGTAAGGAGTCTGAGGAATTAAGGCAAATTCCTTATTGACAACTGAAGGTCAGTAAGTCACCCAGTCCAGGTAGTATCCTTCCTAAAGGTCTCAAAGAACTCAAACATGACCTGCTTACCAAGATATTTAATAGGTCCCTAAAATATCCTCTAGAGGATTGGAGAATGGACAATCTAACACCAATTTTTAAAAGGGGATCTGGGGGATCTGGGAAATTACAGGCCAGTTAGCTTAACATCTGTTCTGGGTAAACTGCTTGAAAGCATAATTAAAGGCAGAATCAGTAAGCCCATAAGGGGACAACCCTTGTTGGGGGAAAAAAATCAACATGGCTTCTGCAAGAGGGAAGTATTGTCTCACAAACCTATTGGAGTTCTTTGAGGATGTCAATAAGCACATAGACATTGGTGAGTCAGTAGACATTGTTTACCTGGACTTCAAGAGGCTTTTGACAAAGTTCCTCACCAAAGGCTCCTGAGAAGACTAAGCAGTCATGTGATAAAGGTGTGTAGCTTACGGATTACTAACTGGTTAAAGAACAGAAAACAGGGTGTGGGAATAAATGGTAATTTCTCCCACTGGAGTGATATAACCAATGGAGCTGCATAGGTTTCTGTATTAGAACCAGTACTTTTCAACCTATTCATAAATGCTCTGGAGTAAGTAGTGAGGCGGCCAAGTTTGCTGATGACATCCCTTCGGAGCTCTCCAAACTGGGAGAATGGGCATCAAAATGGCAAAAGCAATTCAATGTTAGCAACTGTAAAGAAATACATGTAGGAGCAAAAATTCCCAACTTTAAGTATATGCTGATCTGAGCAGGCTGTGACTGGACAAGAAAGGGATTTTGAGGTAGTGGTGGACAGCTCAATGAAAATGTTGACCCAGTGTTCAGCTGCTGTGAAGAAGGCAAACTCCATGCTGGGCATAATTAGGGACAGAATAGAAATGCCAAAAATATCTTCCTGTGTACAAATCCTTGGTGTAACTGAACTTGGAATATTGGGTTCAGGTCTGGTCTCTGAACCAGAAAAAGAACACTGAGTTGGAAAAGGCACAGCAAAATCAGGGGGCTGGAGCAGGTCTTCTATGAGAAGCAGTTACAAGAACTGGGGCTGTTCAGCTTAGGAAAAAGGCAAGTAAGGGGAGACATGATAGAGGTATTTTAAACAATGCATTGTGTGGAGAAAATAGAGAGGGAGACATTTTTCCCTCTCCCATAACTCTCGAACCCAGTATCGTCCCATGAAACTGACTAGTGGAAGTACTTCTTCATATAGGGTTGAGTTCAACTATAGAATTTGCTGCCACAGGAGAAGGTGATGGTTGCCAATCTGGATGACTTTAAAGGGGTTGGACAAATTCATGAGGGAAGAGGCTATCAGTGGCTACTAGCCTTGCTAGCTATGTGCTATATCTTTATCAGAGGTTAATAGTGATTGCTGAGGAGCTTGGGTAGGTGATGGTCTTGTAGTAGTACTTTCTCACGAGCCCCAGGCAGCATAGTCAATGCGTATAGATTATAGAAACTGTAGTCCAAAACATCTAGAGTGCAACAGGTTCTTCATTCTACTTATTTCTCCTTGGAATACCCTAAAGCTGCAATTCTATACTCACAAGGGAGTAAGATCCACTAAGCTCGATGAGATTTACATCACAGGACACATGGAAAGGATGGTACTTCGTGTATGCTGTCATCCTATACGTACTTGCCTAAAAGTAATTGAATTCAATGGAGCTTATTTCCGAGTAGAATAGTATAATAGGTATTAACGCCAAGAAAGTGTATACAGATTTACCAATCATAGGCCTGAGTTAATGCCCACCCCAAAATGCTAACCTAAAATTTGTAAACCAAGATACTGGGGAATAGGAATTCCAGGAAGGGAGTTGTTAAGCAGACCATCCTGCCGAATGCCGAGCATATTTAATCCCTTCATCTCGTCTGAAATTCTGCCTTAAACTGCTTTGACTCCATTAAGTAGCCTGACTGAAGGAGCAACTAATATAGAGCCGCCTTGCCGCTGTGCAATATAAAGCTCCCCCGCCCCCGTAAATATAAAAAGCTGAATATCGGTAAATTTGTTCACATGGCAGGACCGTTTTCAGACTATCAGAAGATGAGAATCCGTTTCAGTCTGTTTATTGTGAATTCAGTAGAATTGGCAACAAAGAGAGAAAGCGATTTAGCTGAGGGGAACAAGAAGGCAGCAGCTAAAACTGTGATTGTTGCTTTTCAGAAGGGCACCGCTAGCTGCAAATACAACGAAGAGTGTTGTGGTGCTTTGAAAATGAACACGTTTTCCTGACATAAGCTGTGATGGATCCGACCTGCTTCATCAGAAGCATGAAGTGTCGAGCTTAAATGGCAGGTCTAGGGATACATGCTGGAGAGGGAGGAGTTTGGGGAGATAAAAACTGTGCAATCAGAGGGAACTTATTGCTGCAATGATTAAATTCATAAAACGTTGTTGGGTAATAGATATCATAGACATCATTGCAATGGCGAGCCTATTAAGATATGCATCGTGGTTTTTAAAAACAAAGCAACCTCTGGTAGACATGTCATGAGTGGAGCCAGCTGGAGCCGGGGGTCAGACTAGATGCCCCGGGAAACCCCTTCTAATTAGCTCTATTCCTGTGTCTTTATTCAAACCACAGCAAATAGATTAAGGATACATCCTATGCATGTTTAGTCAGGGGGAAAAGGGTCAATACCTCCCAACATATCCCAGCCAGCATAGCTAGGTTTATGACTTCTCTTAAAAATGCATAAAATTGCGTATAACTGGTTGGGGAATGCTGTGTGCAAGACTTTTTTTTTTCAATCTAATTATACCTAGCATTGTAGATAGCCTGTGCAAGCATGAATAGGATTACGCACAGCTGGGAAACTGTGGAGCCTTTTTTCCCCACGAACAAGCTTCGCAACTGCAGGCTTGTGTCTTCTGCAAGAGAGCCCAGAAAAACTCGGCCGCTCGGAGGAGGAGATAGTTGTGGGCGGTGCTTTCCTGTTTCGATAACCTCAACATGGAGCCCGAGTCAGGCGGATTGTGAAGCGGCTCGTTCATTGTAGGCCCCGCTTACGGCTCCTCCTCTCTTTGGTTGGGCCAAGATGGCTGCTCCCTCCGCGTTGGGGCAAAGCCTGGACAAGCCGCCGCCGTCGCCGCTCCTGCTCCCGCCGCTCTCCACGGATTTGTTGCAAGTGAGTGATGCTTGGGGAGGGGAGGATCAACCGAGTCAGCGAGGCTTCGACGCGCGGTCGGCTCGGAAATCAGCCTCGCTGCGTTTTGCGGGATTTGTTTTCCAGCAGATGGGAATTGCAGGGCAGCGGTTCCTCGATTTCCCGGGCTCTGGGTGTGTTTTAGGCGGAGGAAGCAAGGAGGGTGGTCGAGGTGGTGGAGCGCTGCCGCCTGTGGGGGCATCCCGGGCTTCAAGCTCGCGCGTGCAGCTGTGAGCCCCGAGGTGGGTGCGCGGCGGAAGGACGGAAGAGAGCTCGGCTCATTTCATAGTGGGGCATGAGAGGAATTATGGGCTTCTCCCTGTAAACCCTCCGGTCCACCTCTCTTCCCAACTTTCTGTTTTCTCTTTCAGGCTAAGGGTTGCAGTTGCGTTACCTTGTAGAGCAGAATGTTATGGCCAGGCTACATCCTTAGCCACGCTGAATGAGGCTTAGTTGTTATTTTAGCTGTGAGACGCGGTTATTACATTCGTAAACCTCCGTTCCTTCGAGGAAAACAAGGCAATATATACGGTCCTCTTCCTGCCTCAGTTTTATTATGACAACAGCGCTGTTAGGTGGATTAGGCTCAGAGCCATTGACTGGCATGAAGGCATCCCACAAACTTTGTGGCTGAGCAAGGACTAGAGAACCCAGGTTCTAGTCTAGCAGGGTAACTGTGGTGCAACACTGGCTGGATTGGCTTAAGGGACTTTCTGGTACCTGTTGCAAGCATTAATTCTAATTTTCACAATACCTAACAATGTTGGACATAGTTGTGTTCTCCCTTTTGCTCCTCAGCAAGTTAGGGCCTTTTTATGAGAGATTGCTCAAGGAAAGTGTTGTCTATTGCTCTTAGTCATCTGTGCTTGTATACCGGCTGCCGTTCTGGTAACATTACAGTCCTACACAACTTGAGACTGTAATGACTGTGAAAGCCAGTCTGGTGTGGGGGTTACAGTTAGACTGAGGGCCTGGGAGAGCTGGATTCTAGCCCCACTTGGCCATGAAGTTTGCTGGGTGGACTTTAGGTCAGACATTCACACTGAGCCTAACCTACCTCACAAGCATGTTTTGACAATAAAAATGAAGCTATGTTAACCACCTTAGGTTCTCACAAGAAGAAGAAAGTTGAGATATAAGCATAATAATAATACAATTAATGTCTTTCCTAACATCAGTCTCAGTGAGTGCTACCATCTATATTTGATGCCTTTCTTTGATTTTTGCCTTCAAGGGAGGCAACAAGGAGGGCCTTCTCAGTGGTGGCCCACTGGATTATGGAATGATCTCCTGCCTGAGGCCTGCCTAGATCCAATGTTGTCACCTCTGTGCACCAGTTTAAATGCCCTCTGCTCCTGGGCATTTAATCATATACGATAGGACATATCAGTTGCTCTGACAGGACTAGTTTTCATTGAAATTGTTTTAAACTGTTTTTGGTTTTGTATATTAGAATTTTATGCACCATTTTATTATATTGCTATTTCCATGGTCATCCATTTCTACCACTGTACCTGTTATGAATTGTGAACTGCAAAAAGAGTCTTGGCAGTTGGGTGAGACAAATGAAATAAGGGTGGTAACTGACTTATTTTGACGTTTTTTGTTCTGTATTACCCCACTCCCCCACCCTGGTTCAGTGTTGAACTTGAAATCATGGGCGGAGAATACTGGGTGCATGAGTTTAATAATAGTGTCATAAAGTTGCAGATGTAGCCCAGGGAAGTTTGGACATTCAAACTTGTACTATCAGAACAGGTAGTAGGTCACCAAGAAAGCTGACATAGGTACAGAACTTGGGAGTGCTCCTTGACCCTGACCTGTCCCTAGAGCAGGGGTCCTCAGACTTTTTCAGTAGGGGTCCAGTTGAAAGGTGGTGGCTACACGCACGGGCCGGTGGGGGTGTGCCTGGGCATGTGGGCCAGCGAGGTTTTGTTGGGCATGTTGGGCATGCGCAGAGGTGGCTTGCTCTCTCGGAGGTCTCCCAGCAAGTCCAAAACCATCTCTGAGTGAGCAAGCCACTGCCTCCCACGTGTGGCGGATGGCGGTGTGGGCTGGATGAAAGGGCATGATGGGCCGGATCCATGCTGCGGGCCATAGTTTGAGGACCCATGCCCTAGAGCAGGGGTCGGCAACCCGTGGCTCTTGAATCCCTCTGCTGTGGCTCCATCACTCAAAATACGCATCGCAGCCCCCCGATCTGCGACCCATGCCGGCACAGCACAGCCCCCCGATCTGTTTCATAAATGCAACATACTATAGTTTTTTTATACAGAGTGTTATTTTCATTTTAGAGGTCAAAAGAGTTTTGTGTCTCCCAGTGTTTTCCTTTCTGTGGGAAACAGATCCAAATGGCTCTTCGAGTGTTAAAGGTTGCCAACCCCTGCCCTAGAGCATCCGCTAGTGGCAGTGGCAAGTAACACTTTCCTTCAGCTTCAGCTGATAAATCAGCTGCCCTACCTGGATGAGCAGTGGTTGGCAATGGTGACCCATGCTCTGGTAACCTCCTGTTTGGACTATTGCAATGCGCTGTACATGGGGCTATCCTTGAAGACGGACAGATACTTCAATTGGTCCAGAATATAGCTGCCAGGTTTTCAATGGGGACCGGCAGATATTCCCATATCATGCTGGTCCTATATCGCTTACACTGGCTGCCAGTTGAAGTCCGGGCCCAATTTAAGGTGTTGGTAATAACGTATAAGGCCCTAAACTGGTTGAGTCCTGGATACCTGAAGGAGTACCTTCTTCCCTATGTGCCAGCCCACTCCCTGAAATTGGAGGCTGAGACCCTTCTCTGGTAACCCTCTTTGAAGGAAATCAGAGTAGTTACTCAAAGAAGGACCTTTTCCGTGGTGGCACCCAAACTGTGGAATACACTCCCCAGAGAGGTTTGCCTGGTGCCGTCGCTTTATTCTTTTCAGCGTCAGGCGAAGACCTTTTTATTTTCCCAGTATTTTAACAATTATTTGGTTTTATCCTAGTTGTTGTTGTTATTTTAGATGCAGTGTGCTGTGTGTTGCTGCTATGATTTTGTTCTTGGTTTTTTGTTTCATGTAAGCTGTCTAGAGACTTTTTTCAGTAATGGACGGCTTAGAAAATTTTTAAATAAATACAGTGAGAATCTAGTTTTTCTTTTAGTTTATGACTTGTGTTCTGCCTTTCTGGGATGAGGGGGCAGGGGGAATCCTCATTTCATTTTCCAAAGGGCTGCAGGGTAGTTCAGGTTCCCAGGTCCAACCTCAGAGCTAGGAAGCTGTGTCCTGAGCACCATGCCCCTTGCAGCTGACATGGAAAGAACAACACCAGTTGTGCTCTGAGCTCAGTGTTTTGGGGACTGGAATGCCCAGAGTACAAGATGCCCTGATGCCACTTTACCCTCTCTTGCTCCCCCTCTGAGATGCTCCGGCTAGATGGGCAAAAAAGCCGATTTGATGTTGTAAGCCGCCCCGAGGCCTTGGCAAGGGGCGGCATAGAAATGTTTTAATAAATAAATAAATAAATAAATTTAGTGGAAGATGAAGGGCAGGAGGACAATGGAGGCAAAGATCTCCTTTGACTCCTGTTCTTGTCCAAGCTTATGGGCTTAGGGCCCTCCTGATTGGTGTTGTGCTCAAGGGGAAAGGCTCCACATCTTACCGCTACCTTTGTTGAGGTCTTATCCTTCTGTCATGTTGGGTAGGAGCAACATTCTTTTTCTTTCCTCAGTTTACATGAGCTAAAGTAGATGATTATCATTATCAATTTCATTTCTCTTAACCAAAGCTGAAGCTGTCTGGGTGGTTTACAGTAATCAGTAAAAACAGAAAATAGAAATATTGTAAAATCAGAAAAACATTGAAAAGATATAAAACAGTAGGTGGCCAAATAAATAAATAAAACCCCTTAAGCCTTTTACAAAAGTTAATGTGTGTTAAAGACATTTGCTATTCAGTTAAATAAGAAAATCCACCCTAGCCTATATTCTGTTGCATACTATTATTTTTCACTATCTGCTGATCCAAGAGAAAAAATGTTTGCTGAAGTTTCCTTGTTGTCTTAGCTTTAGCACTTTACTAGACTCTTTGCTGCCACTTGTACCCAAAGTTAGTTCCCTTACTGGATCTTAATGTAAAATGTGGATTGATTCTAACTGAATTTCATTCTATTCTCTACCAATTTCTGTGGTATAGTATCTGTGAGAGTTGAGATCAAAAGCAATATCAGGTATGTCTACACATTCCAAGTAGTTTTAGAAATTCTATTTTTCTTCAAATTATAATTTAATTTTTCTACATTTTTAACTTGTGTGTATTCCATGTCAGATCAGTTTTCGCATTGTTTATGGCCAAAAGTCTTTGCAAACCTCAAACCCACCCAAAAATACTGTGAGACAAGTGAAATTTGCAGATACAATAAGTAAACATACTTGGGCTGCACTTCTGCTTATTGTGTTGTGCCAGAAGAGTTCCCCTCTGTAAAATATGCTGACCTGACCTGTTTTGGAAGCAAATGTTTCTGGTTGTTTTTAAGAACTGCTAGCACCCCTGCCCCCTTGCAGTAGCGGTTGACCTGATTGATGCAGAGTTAGCATAGGATGCTTTCCACAGGAATATTTATTATTTTTTCTGATCAACGAAGAGCATCACCATAGGCATTTAGAGCTATTGTGTTGCAGGTAACAAAGCAATATGTTTCATATTCTGTGCTGTATCTCCATCTGATAATTTTGTGCCTCAACATTTTCTTTTTTACTGTCTTTTCAAATAAGAACTTCAGATTTTTAAGTCCACCATGATGCTCTGGCTTTCTGGCTCTGCTTTTTAGCAAATGTTTTCTATACCAGCAACTGTCCAATGAACTACCACTGGGAGAGGAGCAGGGGTGGGAAATGTAATGGCCTTTCAGATGCTTTGGCCTACAGTTTCCGTCTTTTCTCATAATCAGTTATGCTGGATGGGACTGAAGGGTGCTATGGACATCTGGAGGGGCACAGGTTGCTCACCCCAATCTAGAGAAAGCCAGTCGGACATGTTTAGTATATTGCATTTAGTAAACTACAAAGCTAAAAGAGTGCCCCTATCTTGATTTCTTTTGTCCTAGTATACCACAAGTATTTGACCAGAAATATTTGAGGAGATATAACATTTAACTAATGCATACTTAGTTAAATATTATATTAGAAGAATATTGGAATACTTGTAAACATTTCAGTACAAGAACATGTACCTCCCTTAAATGGTTTACATTAATGTAGTGGAGGAGGGAAGGTTCTGAAAACCACTGACACTAATTAGCAACCCATAGAAATGTGCATGGGAAGCTGACAAGCGCTAATGTATTTCAAGAATTCAGCTCTCTTCCACTAAGGTGGTTGGGACACATTCAGTTCCACTTTCATGACTAATTCAATTTTACTTTTGAGACATACCATTATTTCAGTGACATATGTATTCTCTCACATACTTGTAAAGGATAATCATGCAAAACCATTAATTGCACCTTTGAAGCTGCCGAGATGCTTATTACTGTGCTTGAAATTGACCCATGCTCGTTGTTACATTAAGTTCATTAGGAAAAATAACAAAAATTCTGTTGAAAAATGAAGTAGTTGAAAGTGCTTCATTCCACATTACCACATACTGGTCACGAAGTGATGGTATGCCTCATTGTTGACATGTGTGAAATGTATTTCAAGCGCGCACTTCCTAATTTATTTTCTTCAAAGTATATGCTGATTCAGTGTGATCTTATTATATTTATATCCTGCCTTTTTTCTTTTCAAGGAACACAAGGCAGCTTACATAATTCTCCTTTTCCTCTTAATATCCTGTAGGGTAGGCTGGGCTGAGAGTCTGTGACTGGCCCATGGCTGAGTGGGGACTAGATCACAGATCTCCTGAATATCAATCCCAGGCTCTTAGCTTCTACACCACACTAGCTCCCAAAGTGTAGAGGTCTGGGATTGAACCTGGAGCCTCATAGATGCAATGCATGTGCTCTACCACTGAATGACATCCCCTGTATCTTGTTTGCCCTGCAGTGCTTCCAGGAGGGTTTAGACTTGGGTCAGGGGGAAAGGGTAGCTGATCAAAGAACTGGACTAAAACTCATGCAGTTCTGCTATGATGATCGTGAAGGAGAACTGGGGCTTGTTTGTCCTACTCAGGTTATATTTAACCATTTGAGTGACCAAAGGCCCCCTGGTCTGATCTGCTTGGGCAACTGTGTTAAGAACATGTTGTTTACTTTGTGCATACTAATTCATATTATTGTATTTGTCACAAGGAAACTTGGTTATATAAAATGTCACACATCAGCTGCTTCGATAGACGTGCATAATATGTGAATATTTGCCTTGGCTCTCTGTTGCTCTGAGAACAAGTATTGTTTTTATTGACTTCATTCCTTATCTTTACAGACGCATGTTAAAGTTGAAGAAGATGATGATGATGTACAGTTCGTGTCTATTAGCCGTAAGGACATAGATGAGGATGAATCATTTGTGAAAGTTAGAAGTAAGTTTTTTCTCTTTTTCCGTGAACATGATGGAGCTTCTTTTAAAAAGAAAAATCATTTCAGATGCTACAGACCCTATTTGAATTATGTAGTGTTTGCAATTAGGAAACACAATATTTTGAGCTGGCACTTAAACCATTTGCTTGCAACTTAAATTTTGAATCTACAAAGTCCATGATAAATGAATGAAGAATATCTGATGGTAAACAGTTGGTAATCAGGGTAAAAACTTGCCCGTTCACTTTTTAGCCATTGTGGCTTCTTTTCCCACCCTGCAAATGGGGATAAGATACTTCACGATGTGCTTAATTGCCTTCACGGCACACAGATTGCCTGTTGTCCAAACCTAGAAGTGTGTGCAGTAGGGTTGGCTCAGAAATCATCCCAGAACCCCCATAGCTTATTAGAGAGTTTTGGGCTGATGTGAAAGCTGCTCACCCATTTCAGACCTTGCCAGGTTTGGAAAACTTGGCAGTAAATGTACCACAAGAATAATTATGCAAATGGTGTGGCATGGGGAAAAGAAGCTATGGTGACTTCACTGATCCTGGGAACTTGGCCACCGTGACTGTGCGTGTGTGGCAGGGGAACCTTACCATTGTTGTATTGGTTCAATGACTGTGGTAACCTGCATTTGACCAGCTCAAAGGAAAAAGGGGAAAGTGCTGCTTTGAGTAATCCAGAACTGAGGGGAGAGTATGGCTGTGCCCCTAGTGTCAACATTAACATTGTCACTATGCACTGATTAGAGATGGTTGCACTGACAACTTATCCATGATGCCTGGACACTAAGTTCTCCCTTGTGTATTCTGTGTATATGACCTGATACATAAAAAGAGTTCCATGTCATGCACCTTATCACCTAAGTTGTGAGCAATTATCTAGTAAAGCAAAAGTTATATAGGAGGCAAGAAAGATTGCTAAAATTATGAAAATACCACCTTTCTCATAATGCTGGAATTTAGCATCACCCTAAGGGCCAAGGCAGAATCATGAGGACACTTTATGCATGAGGATTGGGTTTGCACACTCCGCATTTCTTGGGCCTCCTGCATGACCATGAGCAAACAATTGGAAACATCCAATTCTAAACCTGATTTCTTTGCCACAAGCAAATTCTGTGGGAAGCTGTTATTTCAGAACAAGGCACGGTCTCAATCTGTGGTTTAATACTGTTCTAATAAACTGCAACCCTCCTGGTTTGGATGTTATGTGGCAGTGCACATTGATTATAAGCAGAAGTTACCTTCTTGCAACTGTACATGAATGGAGGAAGAGAGTTTATTCAGGAGGTGAAAAATCAGCTGTTCCTGTTGTGTCGGAACTGAGCCTGTGAAATAGGTGGGCAATGGATTGAGGGCAAGCATTCTTCATGCGCTTGTAAAAGAGGCCTAGAAAAGTTTGTGCCTGTTCATAGAAGTCAAAGCTAGGTTTTCTGATCATTCTGGATGTTATTTATATGGCAGCATCTATATAAATGTCTACAAACATAATCAAAAAGGCTAGGTTCTTCCTCTAAGGAACTTAGAACTAAAGGCAATGACATCCAAACATGTTGCAGTGAGTGATGTCAGCCAGATGGCTTTGCTCTTTATCATATTGTTGGACCCAACAGCATTTGATAAATGTGAATGAACTTTGTCATTGACTAATCTAAACTATTATTTAAACCCCTGCAGAATCTATAAAAGCTAGAAAGCCCCGTTATGATGGATCCCTAGTTCATCTGACCAGGAGATTCATGGATCTTGTCAAAACTGCCCCAGAAGGTGTCCTTGATTTGAATGAGGTTTCTCGTAGACTGGGTGTGCGGAAACGAAGAGTGTATGATATCACAAATGTGTTGGATGGAATACACCTTATTCAGAAAAGATCTAAGAACCTGATCCAGTGGGTGTAAGTTGATGCTCATATCTCACTTTCAAACGATTGAAACACTGTGTTAAAGAATGACATGTTTCTGAAGGGCACATAGTTTCTGGCAGTTTAAGAAAGTAGAGTGTTGTAAGTAAGAGCATGAGATAAAAGATGGAAGGACCAATTCTTCAAATGTTGGCTTGTACAACCTCCCCAGGTTGACATGGGTAAGCTGCCATGGGCCTTGATTGTTTACTGAAAATATGGGCATGGTCATACTGGCATACTTCACAGAATTGCTGGAAGGGCCACCACAGTAAAAGAGTGAAGGGCATTGAATACTTTGAATTCTTATTCTATCATAAATATCAAACTTTTGGTTAGGCTTTTTTTTCTTCAGTTCTCTCAAACTAGTAAAGATTTTACTGCAGTTCACTTCAATCTTAGGCCTAAATCCAGCATTAGCAGGGGAAATTGCTGCATTGGTGAAGTTCTGCTACCGTTTACTATTGCACAAGCACTGGGGAGCTACCCTGTAAACCTAAGATCTGCAACCAGTTGCACAAGTGGAAGTGTAGACAGATGTTCCCCTTGCACAGACTTTGGCATTTGGTTTCTACTACTGCAATAAGAACATTCCCTAGAACCCTGTATTTATTCAGAAAGAACATCAGTGGAACTGAATGTCACGCAATCTCTAGCATTTGGATATTGAGTTGCAGTCTTAATTCCATTATTTTATAGTTATATATATATATATATATATATATATATATTCATTCATGTTTATGGTAGTTGCTGCACATACTGGGATCTAAAAGAACTTACATAGCCTGATCTGGTGCAGATTTCAGTAGACTTAGAACTATCTAGCTCTGCATAGGATAGGGTTAGTTGTTTGCATTCTCTGCAGCTGAGCAGCTGCTTTTTCAGGAATATGTAACTGCCAGAGGTAACAAATAATATTTACATTCGAATCCTATAACACCTTAAGCATTGAGACTTGTCGTTTCTGTTGCCATGGTCTTAAGATGCCTACCATTTGGAAATAGTGACAAATTTACCATGACGAATTGGTTATGCTTTCAAAAATTGCCTCTAAGGATTGTTCTCATGGAGCAGCGTGGATGCACACTGCCAGTCAGCCACTTGAGGATTCTATAAAGAACCTCTGAACAGTGTGATGGGAAGTTGCCAGTGTGGCATTCAAACTCAGACTAATGGGTTGTTCATGAGCTGAACAACCTAATTTTGTCGTTGGGTTAACTGCAGGGTGGTTCATCTCATAAGCAACCCATCAGTCAAGGTTTGCTATTGTATGTCCAGTTGCATCAATCGAAGGTTGTTTACAAAAAAATGGAAATAGTTGTTATTGTAAATAAGACACAATTTGCTACCATGACATACAAACAGCTGTATTGATAAGTAATCTAACACTGCCCCTTTCTTTAGTAAGAGCATCTATAATGTAAGTCTGAAAAATCTTTGTGTTTTGTCATAGTGGATCAGATATTAAACAGATTACTAAAAGAACGCCAGCACAAGAAAAGTTAAGAGATGAACTTTATGATTTAACAGCAATGGAAGAAGCACTGGATGAATTAATGAAGGATTGTGCTCACCAGTTGTTTGACTTAACAGATGACAAAGAAAACGCAAGATATCCCTTTCCTTTGTATTCATAAGTGTTTTGATTCCCTTTGTTGGGCAACAGTGAGGCTTTACCTTGCATAGTGATAAAGGTAGTAGTGATATAGTCATGTAAATATGTACATTGTTTACAATTATACAAGGCATTGTGCTGAGAGCTGCTATTTAAAAGTCCTTAACTATTATATACACTTGCTTACGTGACCTATCAAGATATCCGTAGCATTCAGACATTTCAAGAACAGATTATTATTGGAATCAAGGCTCCAGAAGAAACCAAAATGGAGGTACCACCTCCTAAAGAGGTAAGTCATCTTGACAAATATTTCAAATTAGTGGGCTGTAATTGGATGTGTAGGCATATATGAAAGTTCTATGTAACAGAGCTGAATACTGGCATTTCTATTTTTTAGATGTCTGGAAAGCTGCTTTCATTAACAGCTTTTCTAAAAAATCTGTCAAGTATGCCTGTAACTCAAAATACCATTTGAACTTGGAGCATATTTATTATTTTATTTTATTTATTTATTTATTTATTTTGATTTATATCCTGCCTTTTTCCTACAAAGGGCTCAAGGCAGCTTACATTATCTCTCCTCCTCCATCTTATCCCCACAACAACAACCCTGTGAGGTAGGTTGGGCTGAGAGACTGTGACTGGCCCAAAGTCACCCAGTTGGCTCCATGGCCGAGCGGGGACTCGAACCCAGATCCTCTGAGTCCCAGTCCCATGCTCTTAACCACTACACCACACTGGCTCTCACTTAACTTATTAAGCTTAAGTTACCATTTTACCTTCATAGAAATAACATGAAATGTATACTATTACCACCCTTATTACCCTTATCTAGAATATAATTGATATAATTTTATTTGGATCAAACTGTATACAAGGTGATATATAAGTATTTCCAAGCAGATTTGAACAAAGTGTTGATCATTTCTTGAGCCTTGTTTTAAAGTGTCCGTGCAAGTGATGTCCTTGGTACTAAATCTGGCCTTTGTCTGGTGTCAGGAGACCCAAAGTTAAAGCAATTAAAAGATGAGCAGTACCCATGACTAATGGAAATGGCAGGCTTTCTTGTAGTGTCTGTCAAAACTAGTTGCTCTCGAAGTACCAAGTTGCTCTTTACCCCAAGTAGTCTAAAGCCTAAAGTAGTCAGTAACCTGAAGACATTGTGACATCGAGTGTAATCCCTTCCCAGTGCCCAGCAGAGGCATTAAGTGCAGCCATAAATGCAACAGATACCTCTTAGGTTTAATTCCTCTGAGAATCTAAGTGAAGGAATGAGACCACCAGCTACCAGGCACTGTGAACTCCTCCCCTTACCCTTGAGATAAGGATGTTTACACATCCTTTTGCTGAAGTTACTTGGGCTGGCTGGGCCCTCTTTCACCCTCCCTTCCTTGTCTTCCAGGAAGTGGGGCCAGTTTGTTTATGTTGACAGCCTCTGAAATCCATGGCAAGAGGCTTTGTTTTTTGCATTTCCATTTGGAACCAGGACTGCGAAAGGGGTCCAACTAACTAGTGCCCTGGAAACATCTATCACATCAGAAAGCCCTGTGACAAAAGGGACATCTATGAGCCTGCCTTTTGCTTATTGATAACCATGCATATTTCATCTGTGTATCTATTCAATAAATTGTTTATCATTTTTAACACAGCTGGTTTATTTTCTTCTAAAGTATCCTTGATTCTAAAGTTAGGTGCCTTGGTTGGACCAGGTCCTTGGGTTTAATACAGCCTCAAATTTCAAACTGTGATAACACATTAACTTCACTGAAATGCTTACTGTACCTTGCTTCTAGCCCTGTCCTTAACAAATGTTGGTGTCTTGCAGGACTGTATAGAAGTGCGTATAAGAAGCACAAAGGGACCCATCGAAGTTTATTTATGTATGCCATTAGATAATCCAGATACTGATACCTTGAAAAACACAGATAATCTTTCATGTGAAAATAAATAGGCAGCGGCTGAAGATAGAGGTAAATATAGTAATCGAGTAGATGCTTATAAACATGACATACAGCCATTAGATGTTTTCTTCTTTGGAAACTTGATGAAAATCCTTATCGGTTCAACAACTACTTGTCTGCACATACCCCACACCTGGGCTATTAGGTGACTTAATTTGATGTGACATGGAATCTTAATGAGTAAGTGTTCAGGGTGGATCTGCCATCAGATGACTGAGTATTGGTTAATGAAGTAGAAGTTCATATTGTCTGGAAAAAAGGTTGCATTGAAAGGCTTAGGGCAGGAGTCAGGCCCTCCACCAGCCTTAGCCAGCATAACTCCTGGAAGCCACTGGCTGTCTACCCTAGGGTCAAAATGGGACTCTGTGTTGTTCAGAGGGAGTCATTGTGCAAGGGAGCTTTGGAGGTTGGAGAACTAACGTCGCATTGTCTTGTTTGTGGAAATCATTGTTTGAATGTTTACATGCCAACTGTTCTTTCACTGTAGTGTTCTAGTATTTGTTCTACAACTTGTGCTAACAATCTGTATAAACTTCCATTAATGATGCTGATCAGAAACAAAAATGTGAAAATGTAGCTTCTAAATTCAGCTTCACAATAGCAAAACTCTACTAACAAGATTAGTTTTCCCTTACTCCTTCTACTCCTTTGTCTTTCATGCTGTCCAAATACCTGCTATGAAGGGTTCTCCAGTAGATTTCAAAGAGTGCATAGACTGGCAAGGGAGGACGGGAGAATTGCTTCCTCCTGGCTCCTTTCATGGAACTAGTTCCATCCACTGAAAGGCAGCATTGGCTCCAACCCTAATTATGTTCTTGCTGCTCAAAATTGTTCATAAATTTAATTAGAATGTACAGCAAGAATTATCCTAATGATTGTAATGCAGTATTTCATCTTATTTAGCCTATTGTTTTAACATGATGTATTTGGTCAGTATACCCTCCACTAAAATATACTATCTTTCATTTCCCCCTTTCAGTGAGCAACATGAGAAAGATTGTTGGATTACTAAAGCATTTGATCTCTGGATTCCAGCATCATGGACTTGCCAGGATTTAACTTCTCTCGGGGTCAGTGCAGGTGTAACAGGTTTTCTCTTAACTGCATTTGAGAGATGAAGAGAAGAGTGGAATTGTGGTCTCTCTACTCAGAGCTATTATCCTGCTTCCAACCTTTCCATTGGAATAAAGTTAAGGATAAACAATCATCTTTCCCTCACTGTCACCCATTAAGGTGACTCTGGAATAAGACATTCTCAGTTAAACCACAACTTTAGGAGTGCTATCATGCAAGACAGCCTTGAGTTAGATTTTGAAAACATGGCTTAAGCTTGCCTCTGAATAAAGGGCCTGTAAGTATAGAGCAAGCGGCCTTAGTCTGTTTCATGTGTGTCTAAATGGCCTCTCTTGCAGCTTAATGGACAGAAGCAGCAATGAACACGAGACATTCATAATTACTGCTTTTAAATATGTAGCTCTTTAAAACTGATGTGGGAACAAATATATTCAGTAAGGGACAATTTTTAAAGAAATGCACTTTAGTTGCAATGCTGCACTGTTGCCAAGGGGAACCAGCAAACCTATATTAAAATGCAAAAATCTGGAATAGGGAATACCTTGTACAAGAAGAAGGGTACAAGAGATTTTAAAAACGTGCTGTGTATGTGGATTTTTAAAAATAAAATTCTGTATAGAATGGTAGTCGTAAACCTTGGGGAAACAGAAATGTCTTGGATCATGTGTATTAACGTGTATCATGTTTAAATGGTCCCTAATGCAAATTTTGGCAGGCTGAGCAGCTTTCTGCCTCTGTAAAGCAAAACACAAATAAACTTGTAAATATGAAATTGCAGGACTTAATGGCTTTTTAGTTTGACTTTAAAAGTTCTTTTAAAATCCATTAAATGTGAAATAATAGTGTATGATGCTTATCCTTTCTGGCCTAGATCATGCAGAACAAGAGAGTAATTTGTCACATCAATCATGATTGTATCTTTATTGGAAGTTAGGCCAAGCAGAGTTGGAATAACTTGCTGCAAGAACCCCTGTTAGCTCAGTGCCTAACCTGAGGTCACTGAGGCCAACTCAGGGTCACAAAATGGTGTGTAGGCTTTTGAATTCTCCAGAACTTTTCATCAGAGAAGATGGTAATAAAGCAAAATGGAGACAGTAGTGGCTCATGTTGAAGTCATGGAGTCTGCATTTTTTTACAGTCCAAAGATAGGATATAGATATTCAAATTAGGCTTTTAGATGCTCAGATGGTTTCAGGCTGTACCTAGAACTGCTAGAATAAACAATGGTTATCTTTTTTGAAAATATAGGAGTATTCCAATACTGGTCTAGGTGTAACCTGAAAGTAGCTCAACAGCTGATAAAGCATGGTTTGAATATCCGGTATCTTTCTCCCACAATCCATATTAAGAAACTAACCTTGCAAGTGTCTTGACTGAAACATCAAATCCCCCTTTGCCTCCCTTTTTGGTAACATGTTGCACTCTTAAAAGCTTGTACACTAGTTTGTGATGTTTGAATTGGCCTCATAATAGTCTTGCCCTGATACAGCTTTTGAATTAATATTCATGGCATTCACACACTGTCCACCAACATGAACTCTTCCACTACAGGGAACTGGTTCTTGCATTGCTGGACATAACGTGGGGAAGGACCCCTTATAACCAGTGGAATAAGGATGCCTATCATTTCTGTATAGCACATGATGACTACATTTAGTAACTTAAAACAGTTGCTCTTGTGCACACACAATCCTCATTCTTAGGGCTCAGACTAAGCACGAAAGTTTCTCATGAATTCAGTGAGGATTACTTCCTGGAAGATACTGTTGAAATGGGTGGATGTGACCATTAAAATTAATTACATTGAGTCAACTGGATACTTCTAGAGCTGTCAGTATTATATTTTAATGCCTCCTTTTGGAGCGCAGCGAAGATAACTTGCTAACTGTACACCAGGCAACTGAAGTGAGCTAGAGAGTGAATCTGCTCTGCTCCTCTTCAGGTGCAATGCGTAATTAAAGGGTTTATGTAATGTAGGAAGTCCTGAGGTGTGCATATAGCCATTCACACAGAGGTAGATGACTTCCCTAGAATTTCACAAATTGTGTCATGATTCATTGCATGCATGCCAGAACCACTCTGAAGCCTAACAGCCTGGGTCCTAGTTATGATGCAGGAATGGTTTATACATCTGGGATTGGTATGAAGGGAGTAACAAGCATACTTGCATTATATGCAGCATGGTTAACAATCCTACCTATGATTCAAGGAATTGTAACAATCCCTGTTTTCACAATAGTGCCTTTTGCTACTTTGGGAATAATTGGAGATGTAAATAAAATACAGTATGTGTGTGTGAATATCACTCCCCAACTAAATATACTGCAGAATAGTGAAAATAAAAGGTAAAGGAATAAAGCAGATCTAAAGTTCTTAACACCAGTAAAACTGTGGTTGGTCAATTGGGAACAGTTTTTTGAAATAAAGATGTCTATAGCTCATGCCAAAACAACGGTGTTGATACCTACCTGACCTCCCGAGGCAGGGAATTCCACAGAACAGGAGCCACCACTTGGAAGGCTCTGCTCTGAATGAACATTCAGGCCAAAAGTCCATGCAGAGTCTTCTCATCTGATGACCCCAGTGACTGAGCAGGCTGACAAGAGTGGTGTAGTGGTTAACGCAGGTCTGGGACTCATGCGATCTGGGTTCTAGTCTCCACTCAGTTATGGAGCCCACTGGGTGACTTTGGGCCAGTCAGACTTTCAGCCCAACCTACCTCACAAGGTGGTGGTGGTGATGAGGATAAGACTGAGAGCAGGAGGAGAATGATGTGAGCTGCTTTTGAGTGCTTTAAAAATGAAAAAGCTGGGATATAACTCTCATAACAAAAATAAGGGCGAAGACATTCTCACATATCCCAAGTTGTTTAGGATACATGCACTAGTAGCAAAGCTTCCAAACCAGATCTGGTACCGAAGTTCCCCCAGCAAAGGAGACGTGTGCTGCATTCTGCTCTAGCTCCAGCTTCCAATTCACATGCAATTTGCTCATCTTTGAATGAAAGCACACTTAAGCTGGAGTAATTGCACTGGCACATATTCCCTCTTGCCCATCCTTCTCTCGTTTCCTCCTGTGGTCTCATCTGTTGCCAAATGGTGGGACTTTGGGACATGTGCCTGTCACGTTTTGGCATAAGCTTTGCCTAGAATAGAATCCATCCATTCCTCCGTAGGGAATAGTACACAGTTGTAACTTGCAACAAGGTTGACGTTCTCCTCCAGGTGGCAGTCTTACACTACTGAAAGAAATAACAAAATACTTTTGTGTGTTTATCTGTATACCATTTTTTCTAGTGCTGCTTCTGGAATGTATTTGTGTTGAGATACCCAAGCAGTTTTATTCTGAGCACAAAAAGTCAATAATCCATGTTCTCCAATGTGTAGACAATACATTCATCAACATAAACCTCAACAGAAAGTTGTAATGACCTCTGCTTTTTAAAAAGTGCCATTTTCACAGAAGGGTGGGAAGAAACACTGTGCTGTGCCTACAAGGTGCTAACACACTTTTGATTTTGATTTTGTCTTTTATGTAAACTTTTATTGAATTAGCTCATTTAAATGTGATTTTATTATATTCCAATTTTATGTATTGTGAGCTGCCCTGAGATGCCTAGGCATAAGGGATGGCATCCAAAAGTTTTTTTTAAAGCCTATTGGTATGATAGGCTGTGCACTGCCATAAATGCAAATACTACTAGGAAGAAAGACAGTGAAAGGCAGTGAGTAAGCACACACTTCTTTCCCAGTGTAGATGCTGACCCTAACCAGCATTCCAGATGTAGTTTTCTGTTCTTTGCAGACCTCAGAAGGTATGCCAGGCCGGAGGAAACCAGGCTTGCATGTGAGGGTGAGGAGGAGAGCCTGTGTTGGCAATGGGCAGAATCCAGCAGCATCATTCTAGTAATGCAAATCGCACAGCAGGAGCTAGCTCAATAGCGGTCGCATTCACTTGACTGGACTCGCTAGAAATCCAGTGGTGCGAGAGGGCTTGTTGGCTAGTGTAATGCAGTTCTTGTTGGCTGAATGACATCATCAGATACCGCCGACTGGATTTTTCTGAAGGGGTCCACAAAGACCTTCCTGCACTGGATCCTTGTTATGTTGGATAACCTGTGAGTAAGCCCTGTATACAAGATTGCTGTTGTGTCCAGAAGGTGGTTCAGGATGAATATGGGGAAAACTCTTGCTGTCCATCATAAGTAATTATGTCCAGCATAGGTAATTATGTCTTGCCTAATTATGTCTTATGTCTTGCCACTGATGTTTATCAGTGTATGTCTACAACATAGGAGCAAGGGCTCAATTTCAGGCTTAAGTTTAAGGGCAGGGGCTGGGGAAGGAGAAAAGGAAAATTACCTGTAAGGTCAAAACTCAGCCTTGAGAAGAGAAGACTCAGAGGGCACATGGTATCCCTTTATAAGTACCTCAAAGGCTGTCACAAAGAGGAAGGTCAAGATCTCTTCTTGCTGATGCCAGAGTGTAGGACATAGAATAATCCATTCAGGTTGGACATCAGGAAAAGCTTCCTCACTGTCACAGCAATATGACAGTGGAACCAGCTGCCTAGAGAGATGGTGGGCTCTCCCACACTAGAGGCATTCCAAATAAACTGGACAGCCATCTGAGTGGGTTGGTATAACTTGGTGTCCTGCAACAGCAGAGGGCTGGACTTGATGGCCTTTATGGCCCCTTCCAACTCTACAATTCTTTGATTCAATATAGTCAGGATGAAAAGACAAAAACAAAATCCACACACAGAATACTGTATATTTTCCAGGGGCAGGGTTGTTTCCCATAATAAAAAGTCTCCTAAGAAGCAATCCTTCCCATACCACACATGGTCTGTGACACAAAGGCAGGAGGAGCAATGCCCCCCTTGCCACTGTAAATACTGTCCACCAAGCACAACACAGCATTTGCAAATTTTGGCTCATGTTATAGAAAAAGCAAAACTCTCTCTCTCTTCAAAATGCTTGTTTTCCTGAAATGCTTTCTTCTTTTTTATGAATACTCCAGGGTTTTCTGAAAGCAGTGCCCCCTCTCTTTCTAGAACCACCACATGCCTCCAGCCTGACACTAACACTATTTCTTAAAATAACTTTGAGGTTTAATTGACAAAGGAACATAGTACACTGAGATGAAAACAGGGTTAGTGGAACATCCTGCGGTATCGTAGCTGCACGATCTTGGTGTCCTGAGGCCTGCATCAGATAGCAGCAAATGGGCTAGTGAGAGAGTCTGACCTCCTAGCAGCATTGCCCGTGACTCTCTCAAACCCCTTCACTACATTCAGGTATACATCTAAGAGGAGGATTCATTCCCCGAGCTGCTACAAATCAGAGACAACCGCAACTGTGGCGTTCTTAGTGCACACCCCCTTGCCTTACTCCTCAGGTATACTTTACAAATCCCAACAGCAGCCTTCTGCAGCAGTTCATTAATTAACACATGTATCACAGTGATGTTTGCTGGCTCCAATTTCCAACAACAACCTATGCATCCAGGAATTCCATGTCCATGGATTAAACAACCCTAAATTATGCCCCCCATCAAGGAAGGCAGGATTCTCTTGCCCTTGTATACTAAGGGAGAGGGTAGCAGTAGGACAACCAAAAGAGGGCCGGAGGTGACTTGGGAGATTTCCCATCAAAAGTAGTCTATGTAGACACCATTCAAAAAATTTACAGTCTAGCAGAAAGTTTAATCTTAAAAAAAAAAAAACTGTATTGTATTTTGATGGGCATGCCTTCATTGAATAGGTGAAGAA